GAATTCACATGTAATCAAAAGAAAAATTAGTTTTTGTAACATGCTTGAAGGAAGAAACTCAAACTAACGCTACAACCCTGAGAGACTTGAGCTTTTAACGTTCTTTGGAGAGTTAATAATTTGTGCATTTGTTGTCTTCTAAAGTCGTTGCATGATCTCATTATTCTTTGCTTGGTTACTACTTAGAAGGCGTTTCATCATTTAGTTCCAAATACTAGAACTCATGCCCGTTTCATTCAAAGCATAAAATTGATTCGCATAACACATAACAAGATGAAGTTGTTAGTAAACCAAGAACCAAATAGCCGCACCCCATGTTCATTTGTTTTGTAGGTTTAAGCCTCGTTGAGCCTTGTTTAGCCTATGTTCTTTGTTAACCCACGTTATCCTTACCTAGCCTAGAATAGGACCATCCATGCCTTTGTTCTTAAAGCATAGTGAACATGACTTAGAATGAATTCCTTTTGATTATTCTTGTGCAGAAAAAACAAGTGTGGGGGAAGGAATTTATGTGTGGGAATTTGTGCCAAAAGCAAGAATTGGGTACGAAAAAAAAAAAAAAATTATGGCAAAGAGGTCAAAATAAGAAAGAACTCACAAGTGTTGGTTGTTGAAGAAAGGGTCCAAAAAGTTAAATTAGACCCTAAATATTGTGTATTTCACCCCCTTGTGTGTCTAAGTGATTTTCTGCACGCAAAAGTGAATTCTAAGTGTCAAATTCATTACTTGTTTGCTATCGCTTTAAGAACTTTTGTTTATCCTTAACCTTTCTTTGTTAGCCAATACCCCTTAGCCCCGTTACAATCCTTAACTTCTATCTTGAGTGTTATGTATTTCAATATGTGGAGTTTGGGATTGGTTTGAGCATATGGTGTCCCTGGTTCTCGCATCTAAGTAGTAGCGTTCCATTCATGAGATCATATCTATAAATGCTTAATCATTCCAGAAAAGTGCTTCTTTTATAACATGTGTGAGTGTTCGTTTCCATGTTTACATCAATCTTCTCACATATACTTAGTATAGGGAGTGTAGTTAGAAAATCTGTGTGAAAAATAAGAGTGTATCCAGTAAGGAATTGAGTGGATTCTCTAAGACATGTTACTACGTCCATAATGTTGTTTTAAACGATTAAATGTGAGCTAGTGAATGGTAACTATGATTATGTATATGCTCAAGAGTAGGGATGACTAAAATCTGTGGGAATAATGATCTTTGGCATGTTATGTATCGTTGGAAATCCCTGTAGCAAATGTTGGAAGGTTAGGTTATGTTTTGTTTGTTTTATTTTGCTTGAGGACTAGCAAAAGCTAAGTGTGGGGGAAATTGATAGGAGCATATTTTATACGACTTAGTTAGCTTGTTTTCTTGCTTTTAATTAGCTAAACTATGATAATTATAGTGTTTAAAGTTATTTTCGTGCAATTTCAGGTTTTAGTGTCAAAGTATGCAAAAAGAAGCAATTTGGAACATTCTAGAGCATTTTTGGGCCAAGATTGGATTGTGCAAGCATGGAGGCATGAGGATGGACGAATTTGAAGACAAAAGAGGCTATGAACATGCTAAAAATCTGGTGAAACAAATACAAGTTGCAAGAAGGGATAAATTTCTAGAAGGATTGACCAAAACTTCACTCAAAACCAAGAAATTCTTCAATGCCGTGGGCATTGATTCACTTTCACCAGAAATTTGAGTGATGATGCAATGCTTAAATCACCATGACATGTGAGTGGATGATGCAATGCTTAAATCACCATGACATGTAATGCTTAAATCACCATGACATGTGAGTGGATGATGCAATGCTTAACTCACCATGACATGTGAATGGATGACTCAATACCTAACCCACCAACAATTCCCACTCTTTTCCTTGCTCACCTACTCAATTCCACCAGAATTTTGTGTTAAACAAGTCCATCCTTTTCCTATAAATACCATGGCAGCAACCTCATTCAAATCATCCAGAAATTAACCATTCTCCAAGCCTTCCCTTGCCTCTCCCTACATATCTAAACCTTCCCCATCCATTCCTCCATATAACCAACTATTCAACCACCATAACCACCTTGTGCCGCCACCATTGAAGGAGAGGAGGAGTAGTGCCGTGCTTATGCAATCTGCAACTATTAGAGTGTTTGGAATTCTTTCTTCTTTTAATTCTATGTTCATGTTTAATTTAACTTGCTGTTCAATTATGTTAAACATGTGGAACTAATTTCTTTTTAGTTAGAGGCAAATTTGAAGCCATGGACATATGTTGGTTATGATTTGTTTTACTCCAGTTATGAATTCATGAACTTTAGATGTGTGGTTTACTTTTCTGTTTTGATTAAGAACTTGTTTATGTATGTGGGTTGAGGGTCGACACTTAATTTGCATGCCTAAACTTGATGCTAGGATATAAGGGAATTTCACCTAATCGTTATGAACTTATATTCATGAGAGTAGTAAAGATCGCTAGTCACGATTGTGTTTAAGTAAACCCTAGGCTGGATTAACATGCGTATTCCATAGTTATGAATGCCTAGTCAATGTTTATGATTTCCGTTGAACTTAATGATCTTTGTTGAATGTCTCTATCATGCGTATTCCATAGTTAGGGACTTTGATGAGGAATAATTTGGTTGTAATGCGTATTCCATTCAATCCAATGAATCTAGGGAAATCTAAGAGTTAATTTAAGCGGACCTAATTAACTTGGAACATTGTCATTCATCGTTTGTTGAAGTCATAACTGGGAATCAAATTATATGCATATGTTCATGTGTGGATAAGGAACCCTCTAACTAGTTTCTCATCATTCTATTTCATCACAATCTGTTTTGTTTTTAAGTTTATTTTCAAAGTTTAAAGTTTTAAAGTTCAATTTTTCGTCAAAAAACAAAACCCCTTGCTTTTAAGTCTTGCTTTTAGAGTCAAAACTTGTTTCCTTTAAATCTTTTGAGTCTTTTAAAGTTATATTTTCGTCCAAATCACTTGTTAGGTCTAGAATTGAATCTTTTTTATTGTTATTTGCTGTTTTGAGTATTTTAAGTTAGTTTTGAGTTTATAGAGTCTAGTTTAGTGTTTTTGAGTCTTATATTTGTTGATTAGCATCCCTAGTTAATCCCCGGTCTAGAACGATCCCTACTTACATCATTACTACAATTGTCATCAATAGGGTTTAATTTGTGTGTCAAGTAATTTTCACATCAGCGAGGAACTGGGCCCTGCATCAAGCCACGTCAGTATTTAACTAAGAAATTCACGGACAAACTAACAGAGGTATAACATTGCAACAAATTCTAAAGATGAGGTATGACATTGTCATTTTTAAAAGATGAGGTATGATAGTTTGGTTCGCCCATAGTTATAGTAATTTTGTGTAATTTACCCAATAAAAAATCTATAATTGTATTTTTTTTTAGTACAACGATATATTTTACACGAAGGTGAATGGCTAGTTCAGCTAAGCCACAGAATGGGCAACCTAATTTGATATCGAATTCATCATCTAAGAGATTCGAGCTTAAGACCTCTTACTTACAAATGAAAATGAATATCACTAGACCATAAGGTATTAGAGAACTTGTAGTTGTCTGCTTCCAAAAGTAAGATTTTTTTTATCTAGGTTTATGGTAATAAACCAACAGACTTTATTGCCCAGAATGTCAATACGTTGTGCCCAGCTCAACTCTTCTTGCTGTCAAATCTATGATCGATAAGAAGCCAGGAGGATGAGGATTCTGGAGAAGATCATAGAGATCCTCTAATTACATCCGTTCATCGTACATTGTGTGATCAGAAATCATTGTAAATTTTTTTTATTTAAAATTGAATATAAACAATACATGATAAAAATTGGCCGCACGATGTACAATGAACAAATGTGATTGAAGGATCCTAAAGATCCTCAGAAAGAGGATCGGATCCTCTCTCGATAAGAAGTTGTAATCCTAATATATTTATGATCAGTAGTTTGTGCGTTAATCCTTATTCTACAAGTATTAAAATTTTAATTGTAAACTCTTAAATCTATATGTACTATTTGAGCCCTTACTGTTTCAGTCCTTGTGGAGGATCTGTTTTTAGGTTGAAACTGTTTCATGTTTATTACCTTTATGTACTATTTGTAATTTACTATAGAGAATAACCTTTATTAATGTTTTGTTTGCATAAATGGCGTCTTCTTGCTGTATGTTGATCCTTATATAATTTGTCAATTTTAATTTTATTTTATAAAATTTTTCTTCTGACCAAAAAAATTATAAATATAAACGTACATACTGACTCCAGATTATGGAGTTGAATTTCGCAATCTATTTGTTATATCATTCCCCTAATTTTGGTTAACACTTATTTCCTCTCACAAATACCTGATTCTCGATATTTTCTTGAAGCATGCTTTGAAAAGCTAAAGTTGAGATATCCACTTTCATACGGCAGGTAAAATTTGAGAAGAAAAATGAGAGAAAGGAAACAAAAACAGAGCTTTTAGGTTATTTTGATGGTATATATTAAATAGGATGAAAATTAATTATGATAAATTTGAATATAAAAGAAAAATGAAAAATACTTACAACTCACGAGGTGACAAGTTTTGAGTGAATAGTTGTACTGCTCAGCATTATTCAATAACAAATTAAGTTTTACATAAATTTTTCTCTAATTTTATGTACTATCAAAAAGTAATTAAAAAAAATGAAGTTTTAACGAAATATTTTTTATACTGTTCACTTTTAATCAAAAATCACGTTTTTACATTTTTCTGATATTATTGATTACATTTTTATTTGATCTTTTTTATTAAAACTAAAAGTTTTTAAAATTTTTCGTTAGTTTTCTTTTTTAGAAGAAAAAGGGTAAATGATATGCAACCTCAGAAAAATCTGTCACATCTCTTTCGTCTCGATCTCTCTCTCTGACTCATCGTTTCCGCGTGGAGCGGTTCTGCTGGCTGCCACGTGTTTCACGCCCTTCCAGTTTTCTTCTTCTTATCGTCCAACCCAAACCAAATCATATATACTTCCGTTTTTCTCCCGAAACTTTCGCTCCCCAATCCCCTCCATTTCTCTCTCTCTTCACGTTTTGGGTTTGGGATTCTGTGGCTTTGTGGGAAAGATCTTCCCCATGAAGCCCCATGAATCCACAAAGATCTCAATCTCCGCCACCCCAGAATCCAGTTTGATCCCTAATTCCAGCAAATTCCCTTCCCTGTTTTGACTCGTGATTTTGACTCCGCGATGGCCCGGGACCCCCTCTTTCAATCGCCAAAGTTGACTCGGCCGCCGCCCCGAGAGAAGCGGCGAGTCGGAGAAGTGGCCGGAGGCGCGGCAGCCGAGTGTGCGGCGGTGTGTTGCTGCTGCCCGTGCAGTGTAATGAATTTGCTTATATTGGCGGTGTACAAGGCCCCGAAGGGGCTGTGCATGAAGGCCTGGGCCCACACGAAAAAGAAACGACGGTGCGCGGTTCAGAAGAAGGGACGGCTCGGCGGCGGTGGCGACGACGACGACGGGAAGAGAGCGAGCAGCTGTACAGAAGGTGACGGAGAGAAGAAGAGCAACGCCGAAACCGAGGGCGCTGATTTGTTGGAGAAGGAGATGTGGGACCGATTTCACGGTGCCGGATTTTGGAGGAGTGCTTCCCGGAGAGAATCGTGACGGATGTCGTTTTGGGACTGTCATGTCGTTTTCATTTGGTAATGATTCTGTGGCATTGTGCGAATTTGGAATTTATCCTAGAGGAATTGGAGATGTCGTTTTCTTGGAGGGATGGGATGACAGAGAACAAATTTTTATATCATTTTCTGTACCATTTTCTGTACCACATGACACGTGTGGCGGTTGATGACCAGAATGATCTAAAAAAATAGATAATCCAAAAACGTTCATCGTATGTTGTAAGATTATTTTTTATTTACATTTTGCGTTTAATTTTATATAAAAAATATAAAATAATTTCAGATCAATTGAACGAAAACAATTAAGTGATTTTCAAGATCCTTAGAGAGAGTATTCATATAAGATCCTATTCAATTATCGAGTGTGAAAATTTATTCATCCTAGAATTTTTCTTGGAAGTTAGAGATATTATTCATCCGACGAGATATGAGTGATGGTTGTGACACGTGGTGTACGATAGGGACATCCTAATTGATATGTCAGTCTTGTAATTGTTATATTCTTGGGATTATTGAAGAATGAAGAATATAAAGTCGGCATGAAGGCCAAGAAAGAGATTTAAAAGCATTCACAGGGGCTTTATTCTTATTGAGATTACCACATTTGTAGCTTTAATAAAAATTTCATTCTCAATAGGCCAGAAAATAAAGTTTCATCAAGCAATTTCAATTCTTGGATAGTAAAAAGTTAGATTATATCAAGCCCCAAAGATTCCTTGGATAGTAAAAAGTTGGATAGCCTGAAAGATGTATAGCCCCTCATTAGGATATTCTTTTTTAGAGCCCCAAAGATTCCTCGGAACTCTAAATTCAACTATATCCACCACTTTTCTAGCCCTATATAGAGCCCCTCATTAGGGATGCTCTAAGCCACACGTTTGAAATTATTGATTTAAGCCACACATTTGGAATTATCTTTTTATCTTACTTTAAAAAAAATAAACAATGGTTTCAGTACTGACACACCCCGACCCGGAATGTCCACTTGGACTCCAAATCGAGTTGTGTTGGTCAACACCAGGAGGGTAACGAAGCCATAAAGTGTAGTGATGTGGAAAATGTAAGTAAATTTAAACTTAAAAGTGCCTAAGTATAAGAGTGCGCTTGTGAGCGGGATTGAACCCATTTCACACATGATGTTAAAGCATAAGTAAAGAATAGTAGAGTGGATTGAGAATTATACCATCGAAAGTAATCTTCGATACCAAGATTTGCCACAAATCCTCGTCGATATGAATGCTCAGCTACTAAAACCTGGAATGGTAAAAAACAAAGGTAAGTGGACCTAAAAAAAAGCTTTGTAAAAACCTTTTCAAAAACATAATAACCCATCGCCGTAAAACAAGTATAATTTCCAAAATAAACATACTACGTATAGTATAAAAATACTTACCATAGCCAGTTGTATTTCAAGAATGCCATACGTCACAACTTTCGTAAATATATACCTGACGTCCGTAATCACATATTCTCGCATAAATAAATATATCATATCGAGTGCTCATCGACATATGCTGACAAACGAGTTCATGCAGAGATATTCTGACATGAACAGGACTGGGTGTAACAATGATATACGCTCTAGTACTACAATCATGTGAAGACTAGTACAATGCATAGCATATACTAGTCCTAATTGCCTATAGCAATCTAGGACAGGACTGACACCTACAATGGATCCAAAGTGAGTGTACAGTGCGATGTGCACATACACATGAAAGACTAGCCTTGGCCTGGGTGAGTACTAACACCGGTGCAGCAACGATAAGCAGATAAAACAAATATAATCATGCCACAGTGATTCGATAATTCTAGTCGACATAACATTATTCATAGCCGTAAGTTAAGCTAAGGCATCCCGTATGATGTATAATGATTTCCTAATTCTCAACATTACCTCGTTTTCTATAAACATTAATTTAATTACAGTAGTCATAAAGAAAGTTCATTATTAGATGTATACATATGGAAACTAAACATATATATGTATATATCAAAGAAAATACCCACTCACAAATCATGTCGTCGAGTCGAACCTACCTCGTAGCATTGAGAGTCCTTGCGATGCGTTTCGCCTAGAAACGAAACCATTTATGTAATTACGTAACATACTGACATAAAAATGCATTTTCGTACAAAGTACGGCTAATAAAGGAACTATTTTAAAATGATCGAATTTCGTTGATGGCAGATTCGAGTCTGGCATGTCGAGAAGCCTAAGAAGGGACCTCGGGTTCTTCCATGCGCTGTCATAAGGTGGCTGCACTGGCAGCCACGCACAAGACGCACCACTCGCAATGGCTCCCTCATGTGTGTCCACGTGCCTGCGAGTACGACTGTACTCGCCTTCCTCACAATGGCCTGCGTTTTTCAGGTTTTTGGTCCGACTTCTAGAGCTCCAAACGAGCTCATTTCTTAACCAAACTCGATGATTAAAAAACCATAATGAAGTAGGAAATGTGGGGAATAGACCTATACCAGATCGGGGCCAAGATACGGTCGGAGTTGGTCGGAAAAATCCTCTGAAAGGGGCCTAACGGCCACAATTCAAGCTTCCAAAATTTCTAGGAAAATTTCCACCGAGATGTTTTTATGCATCAACTCTACCAAATTTCATTGTGAAGGTTAAAGACCTTATCATAAGTCCCAAAAACAATAAGATTTGAGGTTAAGGGCTCCCGAGACTTACCTTTGGTTGGAAAACCAAAACTCGTTGGAGTTAGCTTGGTAATGCAATGTTTGCATCTCCATGCCAGCCGAGGTAAAGAGAAGAGAGAAAGAGAGATAATGAAAGAATGGGAGAGTGTCATGACTGTCGGCGATGGTGATTCTATAAGGGGTCTCGTCAGAATGGGCGAGTGGTTGCATTTTGATGGTCTCTGCAAAACAGAGAAATGAGAGAGAATGGAGGAGAGAGTTGAGAGGGTTAGAGGGAAATGGGATGTTGTTGCAACACAAGAGAGGTGAGTGAAGAAAGGGAGCTCCGGGAATATGTGGAGGAAAGGGACACATGGCAGTAAGAGAGTGGTCCAAAAGTTTGAAAAAAAAAGAGTGTTAGGAAGAGATAAGGGACACGGGATAGGCAGGAGTAGGGGTGTGGGCCCACGTGACTCACAAAACAACTCGCAAAATATCTCTAAACATGAATTTACCAAATCGCCCTTCACGTTGTAAATTTGTAAAATTTCCATCGTAACTCCGATTCAATTTTGCTTATGCCCCCGTGTTCGTATAGTCGCGTACTACGCAATTACGCTAAAAGAATGCGTCACACGTCACTCTAAACAATGGTCAACAAAAGTCGAAATCCTTGCCTCTGGGGGCATTTTCATCAAATCACTCTTTTAGAATTTATAAAATCATAAAATTTGGGATGAGTTGTCACAATCTACCCACCTTAAAAAAAAAATTCATCCCCGAAATTTGAAATTGACATTAATGAAAATTGACTCTTTAATGAAAATTGACATTATTATTGAAAGCTGAATATATAGGATGAGAAAATTAGAAGTTTAGATATTGGGTGGAAAAGTGAACTACTATGCGAATCGAATTAGACATAAGGTTACTTCGGACTGCCACTCTTTATTATATGAGACAGTCAGAAAGATTCAAGACTCCTAATTTAACCAGTAGGCTACTTCTTTCTCACTCAGAGTGATTAAAAAGGATCAACTCTCCAATAGTTGGACACCCTCCTCCCTCTTCCCCCCATGGTCCCCTGAAACCCTACTTTTAGTTTATTTAAGCATTTCATTTCTCAATAATGTCTTGATTAGTGTTCTAAAAATAAGCGTAGGTGGTGAAGGTCTGACTCGATTTAATGCAAATCGTTTTGAAAAATCGGTCTGGAGCTAGGTGGTCTTAGGCGACACCTAGGCGGTTTGGTTTTTTCTTTTCTTTTAATTAATTGTGTGCTTTTTTTCCTTTTTAGTTTCATAGTGGTATGCTTATGGAAATTGTGTACCTAATTTGTAAGGGATGGATTGACTACAAGTTCATGCAATTGTGAAATGACTTGGAGCACTTTTCAGAGGATACATACAAGGAAAAGAAATAAACTAGATACAACAAGGTTAAATAATTTAGTCTATGTTCAATCCAATGCAAGGATTATGAACAAGAAGAATTTAGTCTATCAGCCAAGAATACTCCTCATTATGATTATATGCTTACTGTGTTTTAAATATTGTACTTGTTGGAAGGATCTACTTTGTTATTCTTCTACTTCTATCAAGTTTTTTTTTTTTTCTTATTTACAAGATATACAATAAATTTACAAAATCCACCTAGGCGCTAGGCCCCTGCTTGCTGCCCGACTAGCGTCTAAAGTTTTTTAGAACCTTGGTCTTGATTTAAACTAGGTGGTTCTTCAAACCAAGTACTAATCAAATTTGTATGATGTCCATAGCGCGCAAGACAGTGAGTTACTCTTATGGCCTGACAACGAACATAGGTAAAACAAACCCCAGTGATCCTAATCGCCAATGATTTCACATCCTTCATTATCTGCCCAACATAGGACATGTCAAGAGACGCACAAGCTATTATGATTTGGAGCATATTTCTCTCAACATCCAATTTTTATGTCCCATAATTGTTTCCCATAGCAAACCATGTGTAAGTGCCATAATTTCAGCATAAAGAGGAGATGCAATATGTTCAAAGAGTTTGAGATGAAGGATCTCGGTCCTTCGAATTACTTCTTAGGGATCGAAGTGTTTGTATCATCAAAAAGTATTTTTCTATCTCAATGCATGTAATTGAATTGTTGACGAAACATGAGTGCTTGCTTGGAAACTTGGTGACACACTAATAAAGATCAATTACAAGTTGTGTATGCATGAAGATCAATACCAACCGATAAGGAACCATAGCAGCACCTTGTTGGAAAGTTAATATATTTGCTCACACTAGGCTAGATATTCCGTACACAATGAGTGTGATTAGTCAGTTCATGTATGATCTTAATATTAGCATCGTGGTTGTAGCATTTCAATTCCTTTGTATTACGTATTGTCATTCAATTTCATATCTTTTATGTAATTTGATACACGCATTTTTTAAGGAAAAATGAATTTAATTAAGGGAGAAGCCTCGAGAACACTCAAGACCTCTATTTAATTTTACGTCACCTTTATTTTCTCCACAATCGTTCTTCATTTAATTTACATTCTCACAAGTAGATTAATCTTAATCTCATTGATTTTCAAATTCTTTTTACTTTCTCACTTGATCTTCACCATAATCATCATACATCATTTGGTCGTTCGTTTAAAACCTTATATTCGAGGTAAAGAAAGAGCCTAGGTCGAGAAGAAATTCCTTACTCAGCCGTTTAATTGTTGGATTATAATTTAAATTCAAGGCGCAAACCCAATTTAACCTCACATCTTTTCTACGTTTGCCAACCTAGGCCACGCTTGCGCATCTAAATAAAGGACAAAAAATCCTTCTAAGCCACCTGGTCTTGCCGAAAAGAGGGAAACATAGAGAGAGAGCATGAAAGATAATGAGGTTCAGAAAGGGAGGAGATCGAGAATTTCGAAGAAGGAAAGAAAGACAGAGTTGTGTAGAAGAGAATGAGATTTGAAATTTTGAAGAGTTGATGGAGTTGCTGGCAGGGGCGGAGGCACTCTAAGGCCACCATAGGCCAAGGCCTACCCTCATTAAGGATCCCCCAACTAACCTTTCTAAATAATTATGTATTATATTTGGATAAACTTAATATTATACTTCTTTTAGTTTACACAAAACTCTTAATTGCTATTCACTAATAGTTAAAATAAGAAGTCTCTTTTTCTTTTCAATCCCAACAACACTTGTCCTAAAAATAAATTTACAATCTTATTTTATAAACAAATCAATAGCTCTTAAAATTAAAATCTAAAGTCTAATTTAGTTTTATCAAAAAAAATATTCTTTTACATAGCCAACTGAAGAATAATAAACTTTGAGTTTCTCCTTCTCCGCTTCTTGAAATTTTATATATTTTATCTTTGCTCTCTTTAACTTTTTACTAAATTTTTAAAATTTCATATATTTTGTTCACCAAATTCCCAATCCATAATTCTCATTTTTTGTTCGGAAATTCCCAATCTATTCTATATTGTCTTGGAGTGATGCTATAGATAGCTTCTACTTGAGCCATATTTTGTGACCACATGATTGTATAGTACTTAATGGTTGGACTACTTTAAATCACCAAAGAAGGAATCCAATCATCAACGGGGTCACATTATGTGGTTTCTAAAATATGGTCTAAAAACATAGTATCCCTAGCATTTTTCATTGACTTGAGAATGGAAGGTTAACTTCGACATAGAAAAAACATTTAGAGCCTAAAAAATAATTAGCTCACAACTCCAAGCATGCATTATTTTAATTTTTTTTCACATTTATGTGAGGCCCCTCCTCACCTAAAATCCTCGCTCCGCCACTGGTTGCTGGAGTGTGTATTTATACGAGAACAATTTAGACATTTCACAGGTAAAAATAGGATTCATTGGATTAATCATTTTTGTGGTGGTAGAGTAGTTGGACGATAGCTCCAGTAGTAAAAAGTTAAAATATAAGCCCTTGTGGTGCAATTTGTTAAGATTTAGGCCTAAAATTGAAAATTTTGTCAATTATATGTTAATTGTTAGTATGTGAGGCTCACATGTGAGACTAAAATGATAAAGTTAGCCTCACATATGAGCCCCACATGCTAACAATTAACGGAGAGTTTCGTTTAGCCTCATATGTATAGCTCATGTGCTAATAATTAATGGAGAATTTACAAAATTTATAATTTTAAGCTTAAATCCTAACAGACATCAACAAAGGGGTTTGCATTCTAATTTTTTTTTACTACATGAGTTATCTTGTGACTATTCTATTACTACAGAGACTAATAATCCAATTAAGCTAAAAAAAAATGATAAAACAACAAATTTATAGGTAAAGGATCATTTTAACAACCAACTTGGGAGTGGCGGGTAAAATGAGTTAGAAAGAATCGTCAAAGAGATTCGGTGGGAAGGACACGTGTGAGCACTGTGGTGACTGAATAGTCAAGTCTTCGCTCGCTCACAATGAATAAAGTAGACAAAGCAGAAAGCACACCGAAAGGGAAACTCATTGTGCTCTCTCTCTCTCCTCCCTCTCTCTCTCTAGGGTTTTCGCTGTCCCCTTAATCCCAATTCCAGCTTCATCTCTGCAATCAAAGATCCATTTTTTTGGCTGTATACAGTTTTTCATGGAGGTAATTAAATACTTTTGTGATTTCACTGTTTTGGTTGCCCTGAGTTGATTGAAATAATTTTCCATTCGTAAGAAAATATCAGAATCTCATGAATTGTGATATTCCCTCTTAAATTAAGTATCAAACACTGTTTGATTGACTCTGGATTCTTCTGATTGTTGGTTATCACGTGTTTTAGTGTACTTGATTGCTTTAATTCTGAATTCAAGAGGATTATTTGCAATATTTAGAGCTCTTAATTTGATTTTATGAATTTTGATCTGTTTATCTTGGTGGGTTAAATTATTTATGGTTCTTAGTGTTGGCATCCCAGTGCTAAATCGGTTTCTTTTGTTGTAAATTATTTGATTATGTACATAATTTTTAAACTACACTGGTTTCGATTGCGTTAATGCTTCACCTTCATTGTTTAGTTTCTATGTCCCCGAGGAAAAGAAGTGATGTGAATTTGTATATATTGTATTTTCTAAGCCTGTAGTGTTTGCTTTACAGGCTCCGGGAAGAGAAGAGACCAACAAATCTGATGCCCACTTGACATCAGCAGCAGCTTTTGTGGAGGGAGGAATCCAGGAAGCCTGTGATGATGCTTGCAGTATATGCCTGGAGGCCTTCTGTGACAACGATCCTTCTACGGTATATATAAATAGTTTAGACACTATTATCTTTTCTTTTATGGTTTTCCTTTTAATCAATCCTCATTTGCTTTATGCAGTTGACCGGTTGCAAGCATGAATTTCATCTTCAGTGCATTCTTGAGTGGTATTTTCTGATTTCCATTTTTTAGTGTTTAATGCTCATTTTTCCTTTGTAATTTTTTGTTGTTGATATGATAGTTAGATTTTCTTATTCTTATTCATGAAACGCGTATGAACTATAACACGGGATATTAAGGTAGCCAAATATTGCGACTGTGGAAATAAAGATTAGATGTGGGCTTTGCATTTGTGTCAGAATCCTTTAGCCAACTCTGTTCTAGTTCCACATCTTTACTTCTAGGGAATACTCTGTGCGGTATTAAAATTGAAATAAGTAAGTAGGTTATTCTCATTTTTGTCCCACTACCGCAACACTCCCCCCCCCCTTTCCTTTTTCTCTCCTAATAACTCAATGTGATTGACTTTTGTGAAAATTACAAAATGTGATGTTATAATTGGCATAATAGCTACTCCAATTCTAGTTGCTAAAGCCTTCAAATATACTTCACATGAAATCTCATCTGGTCCCTTTGTATTTTTGAAAGTGTGATTAGACAGTTCTGTATTGATACATAGGTTTGTTCCCATTTCGTCCTTGAGGTACTCAACAGGTTGCCTTAAGCATTGTAGGAATAGATTAGAATGATCATACTGTCTTTTCATATTAGTTTCATTTCTAGTCTAATTACTTTTGTACTACCAACACCATGCCTTAATCAACTTGTACAATAATGACCTGGGCATAATTTGAACCCAAAGGGTATAAATCTGTATCCTAGCTTCTATTACGAAATGAATCTTTCTTTCAATTATTATGGTTATCAGGATAGATATAATGAAACTTTTATTGGTTATCAATGGATTATATTAACGCAAATTTGGTCACTGGATGTTTCGGTTTAAGTTTAGATGATGCCAGAAGCTCGTTTCCTGCACAGTTCCCTATTATCTTTAGAGCGATGCTAGCATCAATTGCTGCAACACCCACTCGTTCAGTTGCTTGTTGCCCAATTGGCACGTGGCTGTCCTTTTAACTTTTTTAAAATGTTAGTTTACCTTGTATGTTTAAGAACCATGTTTTTCCTACTTATTTACTCAATTTCCATCTGCTCTTCCTCTGTTTGTAGCTTTTTACATCCCCTGCTTCCCCTCTTTTTCTAAAGCCAGAACTCATTTCTGTATTTCTTTCTAATTACACATAAAACTATATTCCAAACAAAAGCAATGGACTGCCGTCACTTAAAGGTAGGTCGTACCCAGTGCACAAGGCTCCCGCTTTACGCAGGGTCTGGGAGAGGTGAATGTCGGCTAGCCTTACCCCCATTTATGGAGAGGCTGCTCCCAAGTCTCGAACCCGAGACCTACCGCTCATGGGCGAAGGCACTTGCCATCGCACCAAGTGCACTTAAGAGTAGGCAAAATTAATAGAAGGAATGCTCAGTCAATTACACACAATGTATTAAAAAGGTCGTACCCAGTGCACAAGGCTCCCGCTTTACGCAGGGTCTGGGAGAGGTGAATGTCGGCTAGCCTTACCCCCATTTATGGAGAGGCTGCTCCCAAACACAATGTATTAAAAAGAAATATAAAAAATTAGAAAGAATGACCAAGGAGAAGATAACAAACTGAGACAAAAAGAAAGAAAAGAAGCGAAACCATTTTATTTCAGCTGAGAGAACCTGAAAGGAAAGCAAAACTAAACAAAAACTGTAATGGCGTTTTTAATTTCTTGGTGAAGATTAAGTATGACGCTCCTGAAGACCCCAATTTTCAATTTCCTTTTTTGTTATAATTGGAAATCTACAAATTTCTTTAGAACAGAGGTGACTAATTGGAGGAGTGACAGTGCTAGGTTGGGACCATTGTTGGGCCTGAGAAACCAGTGGAAGGCAAGTGAGGAATAAGTAGTTAAAACATGGGTTTTAAAAATGTGAGTTATATTAACATTTCAAAAGAATTAGGACAATGTCAAATGGGAAAAAAATGATTGAATGAGTGGCTGTTCTAGCAACTGATCTTATATTGATGATTTACAAAGTTCTCAAAAATTGAAATTTCGTTTCAATTGTAGGTGTCAGCGAAGCTCCCAATGCCCTATGTGCTGGCAACCCATCAGCTTGAAGGATCCCACTGGGTTAGTATTTTGTTACTGGTCCTGATATTCCATGGATTCATATGACTATTAGATAATGATAAGGTCTTCATTTTGTGTGCATTTACAATTTTACAGCCAGGAACTGTTAGAGGCAGTAGAACAAGAGAGAAGTATAAGGTCGAATCCACCTCGAAATACCACAATATTTCATCATCCAACTCTTGGGGATTTTGAGTTGCAGCATGTTTGTATTCTATCTTTGTTCTTTATTGTCATTAAGTCAAATGTAGTATAAACCTACCAAAACAGGAGATTCTTATTCAATTTTTTTTTTTCCAATTTTGCTCCTGATGTAGTTACCTATGGGTGTAAATGATGCTGAACTTGAAGAGCTCCAGCTAAGCTGCCGCAATGGGTCGGGCACGCCACATTGCCAGAAGGGAAGGACAAAGGAATAGGTCATCAGCTCAAGGTCGTCCACAATACCTGGTCTTCTCTACCAATCCTAATGCACCTCAGGCTCATGCTTCTTCTTCCCCTGATCAGATGGGAGAAGGTGAACCATCTCCTTCAATTGCAGTAACTTTCCCATCGCCTCCTATGAATAGGGAAGAATCTTCTCAAGTAACCACTCCTGTTCATTCGTCACAATCTGGTTCTGTTTCTGCATCAGCATCTGGATCTAGTAATTCGGCTCTGAATCAACAAGGGTCCTCCATGAGCAATAGGTACTAGATTCTTCAGTTTGGTCAGGATATATGTTGGTGCATAAAATCACATATTTCTTGTTATCTTATCATCATTTTCCTTTAGGAGGTCGCCTAGTCAGTCATCCCCAAGTACCCAAGATAGAGCTGGACCATCAGACTTGCAATCCTTTTCAGAATCTCTGAAATCTCGATTTAATGCAGTATCAACGAGGTATTAATATGCTTTAACCTTTGCCATTTAATTATTCCTTTTCTGAATGAGTCAACCCCCCACCCCGTGGGGCCAATAAAAAAAGACAAGTCTTTCTTGTTTCATAAACATCACAAGTATTGTTTCTCATTTTAAATTAGATACAAAGAGTCAATTTCAAAGAGCACAAGAGGTTGGAAGGAGAGACTGTTCTCTCGCAATGCTTCCATGGCAGATCTTGGTTCAGAAGTTAAAAGAGAGGTTAATGCAGGGATCGCAACTGTATCACGCATGATGGAGCGTCTGGAAACAAAAGACGATAACACAATTAATGAGGCTTCTGTGTCAAATAGTTTAGACAGTCCGGTTTCTGAATCAGACAATCGGCGGATATCAGAAGGGGATGGTGAAAATTCTTTAAATGACCACAATAGACCGGCCGCCTGTGCTGCAGGTTCTAGTTCAAATTAGGCATTCTTCAGCAATTGCATTAACTCAAAGAAGTTCTTTATATAAGGTAAGTCTTATGAATTGAATTTTGTATGCATTGAAGAACTCGATATGTAGTTTTTGTGTTTTTCTTTTCTCAATCCACTTAGATATTTTTCCTGTAATGTTTTCTTTTCTTTTCTTTTCTTTTTATTCAGTTTATTTTTCTCTCGTCTTTCGGGTCTCCATGTTTTTTGCATGAGTTTCATGTCTTATTCTCAAGTTGGTTAATGTATTTATTGCTTATCTTGATGAATTATATTGGTGTTTGATTTGTGTGTTGTCTTTGTTTCTTTTATCTGTATTGTGGCTTCATATTTTAACTTTTTGGTAGTGTGGAAGAAATAGGCATGGATTTCTTTGGGAGTTCAAGATTTGTGCGAGGAAGGTGAAGGGTTGTTTTATGATCATATGTGCATTCTATACATGCCTTTTTGTGTGGACTGTTTCCTTGGCAGAAGCTGCACTAATGATGTTCCTGCATATAGGAGCATTTTCTCTTTTAAGTATCATGGTAAAAACAAATATTCTTCACCAGAAGCTCTCTTAGCTGAATGCGGAACCTTGTGGTTTGCATCTCGAGCTGAGGAATTTTGTGTTTCTTAAGGTTAGAGGTTGTTCATTGTTAATGTAGTAATGTGCCTTTGAATAAGGTTGCAGCAGCCATCTTTGGAAGGGCAAGAAAAAACGATTTAAGATTTATAAAGTTTCCAAGTAATGAAAGCTAAGATATCGGTCTTGTAGAGCTGGGGTATTCATAAGTTGGAGGCCAATTTGGTAATCGATTAACAATCGGATAGCTTTTTGGTGTTTGTGGATGGAATGTGATTGTATACCTTAAGAGGAGTTGATATGCTTCATCTCTGAAACTTATGCACACCAAAATATACACAAGCTAGTAGACTTCTCTGTCCCTTTCATTTTCATCAACTTCGTGTATTGCATGGTTTTATTTAAAGATGAATTACGGCCAAATTTAAGAAGGGGTGTCATTGTTGTATTAGTTGCGCAGTCTATCCTGGTCCTATTCGGTTAACATCTTATGCTGATGAATGTGCTACAGCTTACATATGGTTTAGCATCATATCTTTCGCATCTGTGGTGCTGTGTTTCCTGTATTCAATTGTAACTATTGTTTTTATATTTTGGATGGTCTTAGGTGTGAAATTAGGATGAGCTTATAATTGTTGAAAACCAATGCATATGAATAGTTGCATAGATCTATGAGCTAGCAGCCTGGTCCAGTCACATAATTAGTCAGGCAATCAATCCTTGTGGGTGCTGTCTTTTTATTGAACCATAATCTTATTGGGTGTTGATTGGACGAATTTCAGTTCATAAATGTGGTTGATCAATTCAACCAATTCACTTTGCTCACTCTGTACCCCCAGGTCAATTACCTTTACCATTCATGCACGTTCGCATTTCGCCTTACTCTTTTTCTCTCAGAATCTAATCTTTTCCATCAAAATGCATGGTCGTCACATATCAGTCTAATTTATGACTCTTGTTCCGTGTAACTCCTGAAAAGGAAATGCTAAAATCCACTACCACCAAATCTGTGACACACCTTTCAGTCTCTGATCCGAATCTCCTCTCTCGCTCTACCTGTTCATGGATTGTTCAAGTGACTGCATCTTTGGAATCTGGTTATCCTCAATTTGCAGGACATGTATATGAGTTGATAATTTTTCCTAGATATCTATATCAGGAATGATCTATGGGAGTACCATCAATGAAACCAAATACCAAGTTACTTCAAGCCCTCACCTCGATTTCCATGGACAAGTGGCATTTGACCCAAGTTTCAAGGTCTCTTACCCCTGTGCTGGACGAGGGACTTTCAAAGTACCGAGGATCTTTAGTCACAACCACAATGCACTACTCAAGCACTACAAAGCTAAATGCAGTATAAAGACAGTAAACAAGGGACTTACAAAATGACACCTTTAAAGGAGTTATTTGATAGTTCTCTGAGTGTATTGAGTCTTGATTCTTGTCATGTCATATTCCTGTCTACTTTTTGTAGGGATCAGCCTATGTTCTGTGTAACTTTGAAGTCTCTCATCCAAACACAGGTTAGGGATAAGGTCCTCAAGGACAGCCAGAACTCAGCGACCGTTGAATTGATTGTTGTGCAATGATTGAGACTTTAGTTGATTGCAAATTGCACCAAGCACCTGGTGATGGTAAAAAATGAAACAAAGAACCTTTTATTGGGAAAATCTCTGCCCTTTGTGAGGGAATTATTTAATGAACCCCATGACTAATGTGCGGCCTTTACTATATCATGCAACATTTAGATGTGCTGCCTCTTACTGAAGAGTGAGGATTTTCATTCTTTTATTGGCTTTTTACCGTGTATATTTGAGTTCATTACTCTTACCATCTTTGTTAACTAGTGATTACAGTATCTTCTGTTGTCTTGTCTGCCAAAGATTTGATTTGCTTGGTAAACCATGACCTTACAGAAAGCTACTCATTTAAATGTAGGTGGAATCGCCCCTTTGAGCTACCAGAGCCCTGTGGATATGATGCTTTGCCATCGTCATCGTCTTCCAGTGGATGGTCTGTTTACGTTTGGAAAGAGCATTGGTTTGCTGATTAAGATCTGATTCAGAATAAAGAAACCATAGAGTAAATGCCCTACTTTTTAAACCTGAATGCCATTATCTGCTTGTAAATTGCTTTATCTTATAACTTATTTATGAATATACTTATGTCGTACATGTTAGGTGTCTTTGAATCATACATACATACATGTAGACAATTTACTTTTATATGGGATTATACGGTAATTTTCTTCGTGTTGTAGGTCCTTTGAATATTTTTCATTCTTCTGCCAAATTATGTTAGGACTGAACTTAATGTTGTGGTACTATACACAACAGCATCAAATTGTCGAAATGTCTATCATCGGGCTAGTGCAAGTGTAAATAGGATGCGCTGACGAGGAAGTCGGTGCAAGTTGGTGCCAAAGTGATCATTGTTGAACTAAATAGTTCATCTCGGATGATTATGCATCCCTATTGGATTTGAGATGTGAGATTAGTTGCATATTGTATTCTCTTCTTATATAACACTACGTAAATCCTATATATTACACTGATGCCATTGTAATAAGGCTCTTAAGACAGTCTCTGTCTTTGTCTTTGCCCCTGCCCTAAACTTATAGGGGTTCTATGTATTTGCCCATGCCCAAAATTTGGTTGTCATCAGTAGCTGTTGTCGTGCCTGTACTTGGTTTGCTTACCGTGAACCATACCCTAATTTTCCTTAATAGGTTTTGTATTTATTTTTATGGTTCCGATTCTGGTTCTACCAAGGTTGTCGAAATGTCTACCAGCGGGAACTACGAGACCAGCAGGGATTTTGGGCTACCAGTGATTTCCAAATTCCCTACTGGTCATGTAGTTCCCGCTTGACAATCACTAGTTGCACAGTGGGACATATCATTTGAGGGAAAAAAACCTTGGTCCGAACGAATATGATGAAACTTATGCTAGTTGAGAGGAAGATAGTTGTTTAAGGCGTGCTTCGATCCTTAATTTCATCCTGGAGTCTTGGTACATTGTGGAAACGTTGTCCCACTGCCCATGTTGTGTGGAAGTTTGCTCGGTAGGCTTATGTCGTAACCACAATCGCTCGAAGTTGTTGCAACTAATTCGTCACTAGTCAAAATGGTGAACTCATGAGAAACTGTTGGCTATTTAGGAGGCAATTGAGTATTTGCTTCCAAGCAAGCTTATCAACTTTTAGCTCGTTTGGAAGCGTTTTTAGAATGAATGAAAGCACTTTTAATGAAATTTTGGATTCTAAAAGCACTTTAAGTGTTTTTTTTGGAAGAAACATCAGACATGTGCTTCTTGCTGGAAGCATTTCAAGTACTTTACTAGCATCCACTTAAATTTTTCCTAATTATTAGTTTCAAAAACATTTTCACTAAAGCACTTTACATCAAGTTTTATTTTTGGGCACATAATTCAATTTATATATTACTCTTAAGACATAATTAAATTTATATATTTCTCTAAGACACCCATGTAAATTTACAAGAGGATAAATTAGGTTCTCATTCTTCATTTTTCTTTCTTATTAATTGAAACTTTGTTTCTTTTCATTTAGGCTTTTTAGCCAAAATGGTTCCTGAGATTTCAAATCAATAGAAGTGGTCCCTGAGATTGTTTATCATCCATCATTTTGGTCATTTTATTAAAAACTTCGTTAAGTGTCCCAGAGCTCTTGGGCGGAAGTTTGGGCAATTTTCAAAGTTTCGTAACTCAATCGTTTCATAATCAAATTCGACCCATAATATATCAAAATGAAGATAGGAAAGTGTAGAATAAGATTATACCTATTTGGAAGCCCAATGGTTGCCGAAGATGGTCAGAAAATAGCTTCAAAGTTGACTAGTCCGAGAGAAAACTGGAAAACTCACCGGAAACTGGGTAAACTTTAAACGTTCATAACTTCTTCAATACTCAATGAAATCAAGTGATTCTAAAACAAAAATCATACTTCTCAACGAGACGAAGAGAATGGTACCTTTTTGACGGCTAACTCGCCGTGGTTTGGCTGAAAAACGGCTCGAAAGTGGCTAACTCGAGACCAAGACAGCCACTTTCGAGCTGTTTTCTGGAAACATACCACTGTGAGCTAGCCGCTGAATAAGGTACCATTCTCTTCGTCTCGTCGAGATGTATGATTTTCGTTTTGAATCACTTGATTTCGTTAAGTATTGAAGAAGTTATGAACGTTTAAAGTTTACCCAGTTTTCAGCAAGTTTTCCAGTTTTCTCTCGGACCAGTCAACTTTAAGGCTATTTTCCAACCATCTATGGCAACCATTGGGCTTTCAAATAGGTATAATCTTATTCTACACTTTCCTAGCTTCATTTTGATATATTATGGGTCGAATTTTGTTAAGAAACGATTGAGTTACAAAACTTTGAAAATTGCCCAAACTTCCGGTCAAGAGTTCCGGGACACTTAGCGGAGTTTTTAACGGAATGACCAAATGATGGATAGTGGACAATCTCAAGGACCACTTCTATTGATTTGAAATCTCAATGACCAAAATGATGAGTTATGCAAATCTCAGGAACCATTTTGACTAAAGCCTTTTATTTTTTATCAAGGTCCTTCGACATTTGTGCACATCATTATTTGAATATTTTTAAACTTGAAAAACTTATTTAATCAATTCTAAATATATTCTTTTGATGTTTTTCACATAATTCTATTTTCAATTCGTACCCATATGTTTTTAATTTCTTTTTATGCTCATATATACATTTTTTAACTTTTGATGTGTACCCGTAATTTTAAATTTTGATATGTACACATTTCTTAAATTTGATTTGTACCCATATTGTTTTTTTTTTTATGAATGTAGCCATACTAATACAAGTATTTGTTTTGCGTTTTAAAATATATATTGTTATTTCTTAAAAATATTAACAATTACGTGGGTACATTATTTATTCAGTAGAACTATGTGAAGAATAATATTACTTTATTATTGATATTTAAGTAATTTTTATATTTCAAAAATACTATTTGAATTTGTTTGAAATTCACAATTTGTGTGCTATGAAATCTATAAATGCGGTAGATAAATTCTCTAAATAATGAAAAATGTTGAGCTTCGATCAAAATATGTTAATAAATATTAACAATTAAGTTAAACAAGGACTGCAACCAAAATAAGCCTTTGCAATATTTTTAAATTATCCCTAGTTGAAAAAATTGCCACAACCATCTCAATCGTGAATTCAACTCCCGTCTCCCAAACCCTTTCTTCTTCTTTTGGCTCTCCTCATTCTTGTCCAAAAACAACAAAAACCCAGATTCCATCACATCATCAATTCAATACTCTTAAAATTGATGGCAAAAGCTATGGAGACCCATTGCATTAAGAAATTGGAGAAACAATGACTTTTCTTCTTTTATTATAAGCTAAAGCACCACTCAAGTGACAAAAGAGAGAGAGAGAGAGAGAGAGAGAGAGAGAGAGAGAAATAGTTGGCTTGTGGCCGCAACACCCTAAAATGATTTGGCTCCAAAACCTAACTTAGTTGTGTATTTTAGTAACTTTAACAATGGGATACAATGGTCATTAAAATAAAACAATTTGTGTGCGTCCAGATATACAAAATGGCATGTGTTTGCCGTGAAAAAGCAATGTTTGAAAAGAGCGAAACAGTAAGTAATACAAGAGTAGACCACATGAAACTCTCGGTAGAAACATGCTTCTTACATCCACCAGCAATGAATCGGCCGACGCCCAACACCAAGGCTGTTGACAGATTGAACCACCTTAACAGGCACTGAAACTACTTATTTTCGACTACTTACGAGCCGTCCTCTGTCAAAAAGACAACAATCTGGCGATCTAGATATGCAACACATTGTCCAGGTAACTGAATATAACACTACTTCTAAGCTGGAAGATGCACCACCTACTGAGGTTGTGGATGCTTCAAATGAGAAGCTGCCTAGTTGAGTTTCATCTCCTCTGAAGAAATTTTGGTAGTGTACAGCTCAAGTAGTCATGATAATGGTTTTGATACTTGTAAGAAATTTTAGCCGATAATTTGGGATGCTATCTTGTTTTCTTTGTGTGGGACGATGATTTTCCAGGGCCGGAGTAGTGCTGATCCTAATATCGTTACCTCAGAAGTCAGGTCATGCTTGTTCCGCAAGATACGCGATCTGATCTAGATATGGACACAATTAGATCAAGTCTTGGAGTTCCTACAATCTAGAAATTGGCATGTGCCCCAAGTAATCATAACTCCTAAGAGGATGCAATATCTACTCTTAGATATCCTCTAGGATTCTCCGGGCTTAAAACAAGTATTCTATCCTAAAAAGGTCTCTCCCCACGGTAGGTTCATCTATGGTAACACAATCTACACACTAACTTGACCAGCGGAGAGCTTTGGCCGGCACATCCCCGCCCTAGGCTTGCTCACAGTTGTTTTACTATTTTGCAGATTGCTCGAGTTGTGCTCAACCGTTGCTCATGGAGGTGTGCAAATTTGATTCCAACACTCTATTTGTGAGAAATGCAGTGGTGGGTGAGTTGCATCGCTTCTGCATCGTTGCAGTAGAGGTGTTTAAGGTGAGATGCAAGTTCTTGTTAGTGTAATCGAAAACGGGATTCATTTTTCTTTTCCTGGCACGTCTTAACATCGATATCACAATTTGTTTCCTCTGTAAGCGTCGACGATACCGTGCTTTCTCAATACAAAACAACATTGTGTTCTTGCCAACTTTCTCATTCATGTCAAGGTGCCCCCATTTTGCCGAGTAAAAATTGATGTGCTATTTCTCATGCAGCTTCTCAGGTTACCTCTGTTTGAATGGCCTTCGCTCCCAACTCTGCGGAATACGTCCTCCCCACTCTGCAGCCTGCAGGTAGTTGTATCTACTTTGGCACGAGAGACTCTCTTCGTACTCTTGCTGTTGGTTTTTTACTATTTTGAAAACTAAGAGGCATGGAAGTTTTCTTTGTACAGTCCATGTCTCATGATCCATTTAGCTTGTAAGTTCAGCATGACTGTGACGTCAATAGTGGAAAGAAATCATGCTTATGCGGATTCGATCTACACCGATCCCCTTCACCCCTTACAACTAATAATTTGACCCATGAACATTATCGTTTGTCAAAAAAAACAACTTAACATGGTTTATCATTCTTCTACGTTTTACTCTGTGATAGTGCAAATCTTATCCAAGTTCCTCGGTCATCGTTTATTTGATACTATGGTTGTGTCATTGAATAAGAAGAGTCCATTATACTGCCATATT